TTGGCTTTCTTTGCCGCATTCACTTCAGCATTCAGTTTTGGCGTTCCCTGCTGCGTTCTCCTGCCCTCCTGTTTTGGCGTTTCTTGCCGTGTTCTCTTGGCCATCATCCTTGGCATTTCCTTCCACGGTCTCTTGGCCCTTGCCCTTCTCTGGGCATTCCCTTGCCCCCCTGTTATTGTGTCCCATGCTATGTTCTCTTGGCCATTGCCCTTGGCTTTCTGTAGCCACATTCTCTTCACCATTTGATTTTGGCGTTCCCGGCAGCATTCTCTTGCCCTCCTGTTCTGGCACTTCCTGCCATGTTTTCTTAGCCCTTTCCTGGGCATTCCATGCCGTGCTCCCTTGGCCTTCTGTTTTGGCATTTTGTGCTGCGTTCTCTCGGCCGTTGCCCTTGGCCTTTCCTGCTGCGGTCTCTTTGGCTGTATATTTTGGCCTTTCCTGTTGCGTTCTCTTTGCCCTCCCCTTGGCTTTCCATTGGTGCTCTCTTTGCTTTTGCCCTTGCCTTAGCTTGGCTGTTTGCTTTGCATTTACCTTGGCTTTCCACGGGAGTTCTGCTTTCCTTTGCCTGCCCTGGGTGTCCTGCTTCCCTTTGCCTTTGGCACTCTAGCATGAGCTGGGAGGCAGCATTAATGTTACCCTTGACCTAAACCCACAGCTGAATGGGAGTTCTAACGATAACTGTGTTAACCTGCAGCGTATCTGTAGATCAAACCCTTAACCCAGTGTTGAAAATGTCTCTTACCCTGAATGCTGCTGTAAAAATAATGCCCCATGTTTTGTCAAATAACCATAATTGTAGTGCAGAATACTGATGTTAGACCATCTGTAACTTCAACCCTATCAATACCGTTAATTCTATCCCTAACATTAATTATAATTAATTACAACCCTTGTGTCATCATTACAGCATTGTGCTCAGGGTGCAGCCCCACACATGCGGGGCAGCGCCTTCATTACTGCGTTGTGTCCCACAGGTGGCAGCAGAGTTGCTTTGCTCCTGAGCGCTGTAAGGACAGCACGGAGATGCGCGGCTCTTGAGGCAGCAGCAAGGAACCGGAATCTGCATTTCCTGGGATGCCCGGAACCCCGCTTTGCTGGCCGGTAATTGTCTGCCCAGCAGGTAAGGGCGATGCTCACCCACCGGTGTTTACTCATTACTTAGCGAGGCACAAGGTAGGGTTCCCAGAGCTCATTTCTGCACTTCACGGTGCCCTGGATGCTGCCTGTCCTTTTCTTTCTGTGTTCTCCTCGCCTCCAGCCTTTCACTGCAGCGTTCTCCTTGCCCTTCGCTTTCCCTGCTGCGTTCTCTTGCCCTCCTGTTTTGGCGTTCCCTGTGGCATTCTCTTGGCCATTTGCCCTTGGCCACCTTCACTGCGTTTTCTTTGGCCTTCGGCTTTGGCCATCTGTGCCACATTCCCTTGGCCTTTGTCCTTGGCCTTCTTTGCCACGTTCACTTTCCCTCCCATTCTGGCGTTCCCTACAGCATTATTTTGGCCTTCAGTTCTGGCGTTCGTGGCTGCGTTCTCTTTGGCCGTTGCCCTCGGCCTTCTTTGGCCCATTTCCTTTGGCCTCTTGTTTTGTCTTCTCCTACAGCATTCTCTTTGCCTTTGGTTTTGGCCTTCTGTGCCGCATTCTCTTTGGCCATTGCCCTTGACCTTCTGCATCGGTCTTCTCTGCAGCGTTCTCACGGACCTTGCCCTCCATTTTGGCCTTCTGCGTTGATCTCTTTGGTCTCCATTCTGGCGTTCTCTGCGGCCTTCTCCTTGGGCCTGACCTCTGACGCGACCTTTGGCGTTCTCCATGTCTTTCCCATCCCTTTGCCGTCTGTTTTGGCATTCCCTCGGCTGTTCTCCTTGCCTTTTGCTCCTGCCTTTGCCTTGGCCTTCCCTAACAGTCACTCTAACCCTAATCCTGATGTACCTAACCCTAACACCTTTCCTGTTAAATACTCCTAACCTTACTCTGAAGCCTTTTCTTAGAGCGGTGTTGGGCTTCCACGTTTTGTGGGGGTGGGCTGACGATGAGCACAGTTTGGGTCTCGGCGTTCCTCCTTCTAAAGCATGTTTCTGTATTACAGGTGAAGATGCCTTCGACGCTTCCAGTCGATGACTTCCCCCCTGCGACGCCATTGGCTTTCCAGGCCTCCCACACTCACCGCCAGCTCGGTTCGGTCAACCATTACCCGAATCCCCGCTCTGTTCCCTTTCCATGATCTTCCTGTCACTCTGCCACAAGCCCCTACCAAGGTCATCGCAGGCAACGTGTGGGATGCGGCGCTCGGTCTCATTGCAGTTCATCCCATCGGCCTCAGCCCAGCGATCCAACCCACCCGCACCCTTCCTGAGGGCCCTTCTGCTCCCAGGCCAATCAACACTTCCTTCTGATGCCATCTGCGTTCCTTCCAGGCCATTTTCAGACTCGTGCCCCTTCGTGGCCATTTTGAGAGTTGTGCTGATTTCAGCATGTGCATTCAATTGACTTCAACCAAATTGGCTTTAGCTTTACATTCAATTAATGTAAGCCAGATTGGCTTTAGCTTTACATTCAATTAATGTAAGCCAAATTGGCTTTAGCTTTGCCTTGGTTACGGGGTTGGGTTAGCTTTGCTTTGTTTGCTCCTAGGCAGGGCTAACCCAACCCCGTAACCAAGGGCCGTTGGAGGCGATTTTGTTCCTTCCCGGCCAGTCTGAGACTCGCGCCCCTTTGTGGCCGTTCTGAGAATTGCAATGTCTTTGGGTGGGCTGAGATCTGCACTGCTTTTGAGGTGGGTTGCAGTATGCAACATTCTCACAAATGTGGTGTCACTAATGGGGTGTGGAGGCTTTATACCCTTTCTCTGGTTGGTCTGACATCTATGCGAACCATGTCTTAAAGTGTACTGCGTATGTGTGTGCTGCGCCTGTAAATTGTGTCGTGCCATGTATGCAATATGTGTTAAGTTGCACCTGTAAACTGTGTTGTACCATGTACAGAATGTGTGGATGCTGCGCCTATAAACTAAGTCTTGGAATCAGAGACCCATATTCATTACATGTTCTGCTTCTCAATGTGTAGTTGCTGGTATAGCGCGTATGTATATGATTGTATGAGTCATGCCTTGCGGAAACAGCGCTGTAATAAACAAACAGTTAAACCATGCATGTATGTTGTGTGTCTTGCTTTGTCATGGCAACGACTTGAAGGACACTGGAAGGTAGGTGACAAAGGTAGGTGTGGAGGGTGGTAGACTTGGGGATTAGGGTTAGACTTAGACTGGGGTTAGGGTTAGACTTAGACTGGGACTTAGACTTAGACTGGGGTTAGACTTTGGGGTTAGACTTAGACTTAGACTGGGACTTAGACTTAGACTGGGGTTAGACTTTGGGGTTAGGGTTAGACTTAGACT